TCACTTTTTTTTTTTTTTTTCTTACACAAATGTTTCTTTATAATTATTTATCTAATATAGTATATTCCGATAACATCGAAAGATCTCGTAAACCAACTCAACCAATACCATCTCCTATACCACAACAACAACATCATCATCATCATCAACAACAATACTATTATTATAGTAGCAGTAAGCAAAAAAAATCAACAAATAATCATCATCAAAGTTTTTATTACGATTATCAAAAATTTCATAATAAATCTTCTTTTAATAAATCAAAATCTTCAACAAAATCTTCAAAATTCAATAATAATTATTATTATAATAACAATTATAAAATGCCTCCTTCAGCATATTCAAATTTCCATAATCATACTACTTCGGCTTATGCTGCTGCTACAATGAATTCTCCAAATAATAATAATTCTTCAAATAAAACTCCTCAAAATAGGAGAGTAATTGATAGTGAACATAGATATAAGATCGTTGATGATATTTGTGCTGAATCAAATTTATATAATATACTTGGTGTTGAAAGAACTTGTTCAACAGAAGAACTCAGAAGGGCTTATATTAGTGTAAGTAAAATTTTTTGAAAGTGTGAGGTTATATGGATGTGAGGTTATGAATGAATGTGAGGTTATGGATGTGAGGTTATGGATGTTAGGTTATGGATGTGATATTGTGGAGTAAATGTGGGAGGAAGGGGAAAATGAGGGAAGTGAAAAGCGAAGGAGGAGGGGAAAATGAAGGGAAATTGAATAATTGGAGTAGTAGAGTAGTGACTTACCAACATTGGTGTTGACGGATCACACGGTTCATACGGTTCATACGGTTCATACAGTTCAACATGGTTTATACTTTATACGGTTCACATAATTAACATAATTATACGATTGTACAACACACTCGGACCGTGCGGACCGTGCGGACCATATGGAACATACGGATCATACGGATCACACGGACCATACGGTTCATACTGTTCAACACCGCCACCATCACACGGTTCATATCACATCCCTATCACCACCACCACGTGGTTCATACCATAGTTTACACAACCACATGGTTCACGCACGTCATCAATTGATTTATTAATGTATGTCGATTTTTTTTTTCTATATATTATAGAGATCACGAATCTGTCACCCTGATAAATTCCCAGAATATCCAAAAGCAACCGAGGCTTTTCAAAGTTTGTACTAATCAACGAAATCATCAATCTTAATTTACTCTTTTTGGATCATAGAAACTAACCCGATTTTCTTTTACTATTAATTAGAGTTATCTTATTCTTATGAAACGTTAAACAAACCGTCCTCGCGCCGTGCTTACGATATATCGGGTACTAGTGAACTTGGTAACGTAAACGGTATGGGTGACGAAACATTACACAGCGTTTTATATCAAGTATGGAAATTTTTTTTTTTAAAAAAAAAATGTTGACTTCTTTCATCATTATGTTAATTAATTGTACCTTTTTTTTTTTAGTTATTTTTGGAATTTATGGATGGTGATTTCGAAATGATCCGCGCCTTAGTTAGTGAGTATCTTTACTGAAAATTGATAACAGGACGAAATTACAAAGATGCTAATGTCACGTGCTTAATTATAGATGCCCTAAATGAAAATAATCCCGGACTTAACTTGGGAGATGATGCCATTGAAACTTTGGAAATTGCTTTCCGAAGAATGAGAGATTTACTTTTGGGTAAATAACCGGTCGCACTTGGACTTTTTTAACTTATCCTATAATTTCCTATAATACTAACTTTATTTTTTTAATTTATAATAGCTGGTAAAAAATACGTTAAAATTGTTCAATTTGAGCTTATTCGTTTGTACGAATTACAACAACAATTACGATCACTCTCATATTTTGACGTATTTGGTCGCTTGCGTTTAACCATGCAATTGACGAAAATATCACTGACTATACCGATGCTCATCGATAATGCTATGAAGGCAGAATCTGATGCATTAGGCAATAAAGGTACCCATAAAGGACTATTAGGTGATGGCGTGTCCAAAGTTATTTCTAGTTTAATAACAGTTTTGGAAGCGGGTGAACAATACGTATAAGATTATTTTTAGACAGCATGTAAAAAAAATAGGACGAGATGAAAATAGTTTATTTGCAATAATCACCCATATAAGATATATTTTACTTTATTATTATTATGATATATATATTTTTTTGGTATTTGGCATTACACACACACTTTTTTTATAATGTATCATTTTTCTTATAGACGTTTTGATAACGATAAGATTTTTGTTTTTTTTAATATATACAGAGTATATATATAATATATATATGAAAAAAAAAAAGAAATCAATTTAAAAAGTTATTAAGGCGATGGTTTTTCGAATTGAAGAATTTCCTTTCATTTTTAAATATTTTCTTCTAAAACAAAAAAAAAAAAAACCATATTTATTATATATTAATATTTTTTAACATCATATATATTCATATCCCCCTCCCACATCCACTTTTGTATTTAGTTTTTTTTCATTTTTATTATTAACGCGTGCGATGTTTATATAATATATTTTTTTTTTTATTTTCCTTTTTATCTATATATAATATCATTATTTTTTTTTAACTGGTATTACG